CTAACCTGTTGCTGAGCTCTAGTTAACATAGTGGGTATTTGTATATATAAGATAGTTTGCAGGGTCTTTTTTATTTTTATAGATTAACTTTGTTAGAAAATGATAAGTAGTCGTATAACTACTTCTGCTGTATTACTTAATTTTGGAACAAAAGACTTTGATAGCTTTATCAACAATATATGTTGTATATTTGTTTATTGGCGTACCAGAAAGCAGTTGCATTCCAGGAGCCATGTCTCATGCCTATAACCCTAGCATTCTGGGAGGCCCAGGCGAGAGGATTGCTTGAACTCAGGAGTTGGACACTAGCCTGGGCAAGACTGAGATCCTCTCTCTGCGTAATAGAGAAAACATAGCCCAGTGTGGTGGCACACATCTGTAGTTCCAGGTACTGGGAGGCTGAGGCAGGAAGACCCTGGAGACCAGGAGTTTGAGTTTGCACTGAGCAGTGAGGATGGCATTGAACTCCAGCCCGGATGACAGAGACCCTGGTCTCTAAAAAATCAAAAAAAAAGGCACTTGCTTACGATTGTGGCCACCAGTCATGTATGAGTGTACATATTTCATGACAAGCTGACAAGCTTTTGGGTTTTGAAAATAAATGTTTTGAAACTCAACTTCTTTTAGGTGGTAAATGGATTACTTTAATCTGCATTTTATGATTGTAAAGAAACCCTTGTTCACTGTCAAAAAGTTAGAAATTATTTTATTAAAACTTCTTTTTCTTTTTGAAGCTATACAACACCTACCATCCTAAAAATAACACTGTATCATTTTAGTGTGTTAGGCGAGTTTTTTATTGAACACCTAATATGCAGGTTGCTGTGTTAGCTGTAGGGTCATAGTGAACAAGTCAGATTAGGTCCCTGTCTTTGTTTCTTGTGGGTGAAGTAGCAAAGGCTAAGAGTACTTACTAGAAGGTGCACCTGATAGGAGTCTGGGAGTGCTGAAGACATTTCAGCTATGACTCTGAAGTTAAAGCAGTGAAGTAGAAGAGGGGTGAAGTGTTCCAGAAAGATGGCTAAAGAAAGAAGGTTCAGAATTGACAAGACTCTTGGGCTGAGCAGAAAGAACTGAGTGAACAGTGGTAAGTGGGCTGCGGAAGGGTTAGGTAGGAGGAGTTGCCTGAGGGAGCAGAGCCGTTAAAGGGATCAGTGTTGTGATTGCTCAAAATCCACTAGCTATGACCTGAAGAATGGAGTTGGGAGGGTTTGGGTAGTTTGGGAAGGAGTGACTATGGAGAATTTTTTTTTTTTTGGCATTTTAATAGTCATTAAAACCCTCTTAATTTGTATATTCTTTTTTTTGGTCACCCTTGGTAGAGTCCCGTGGTGTCGTAGCTCACAGTAATCTCAAACTCTTGGGCTCAAGTGATCCTCTTGCCTCAGCCTCCTCAGTAGTAGTGCCATAAGCAACTGCCACAACATCTGGCTGCTTTTTCTATTTTCAGTAGAGATTTGAGGCAGGGGTCCTTCCTCTTGCTCAGGCTGGTCTCAGACTCTTGAGCTCAAGCAATCCACTGGTCTTGGCCTCCCAGAGTGTTAGGATTACTAGCATGAGCCATCACGCCTGGTCTCATGCTTGGCTTATTAAATACATTTTTGATTTGTGATAGTATATGATGAGTTTCTTGGGACTTAACCAAATTGTAAGTTTTGGGGGGTTTTTTGGGAGGGGGCAGTCTCACACTTTTGCCCTGGATAGATTGCCATGACATCATAGCTCACAGCAACCTCAAACTTCTGGGCTTGAGCAATCCTTTTGCCTTAGCCTCCTAAGTAGCTGGGACTACAGGCCTGTGCCACTACTCTTGGCAGAGATGTAGTGTTACTCTTTTCAGACTGGTCTCGAACTCCTGAGCTCAAGCAATCCACTGGCCTAGGCCTCCCAGAATGCTAGGATTGCAGGTAGAATTAGAGGCATGAGCTACTGTGCCCTGCCTCCCCAATCATAAATTGAAGACTTAAATAATAACTTTACTTATGAAGACATTAAAACAATAGTACAAAAATTTCCATGTACTTTTCACTTAGCTTCCCTTAATGATAGTGTTTGAGAACTTAAAGTTTGAGTGAGGATCAAAAGTAGGTCTACGTATTGTGGTTATGTGTTTTAAATCTGCCTTTTTTCTTTTTTGAGGTGGAGTCTCTTGCCCAGGGCCCAGGGTAGAGTATCGGAGGGTGTCCTGGTAGCTCACAGCAATCTCAATCTCCTGGGTTCAAGCGATCCTCTTGCCTCCCCTAGCTTGAACTGCAAGTGTATACTATCATGCTTGGGTGGTTTTTCTGATTTTTTTTTTTCTGATTTTTTAATGGAGCTACCTGAGGGTCTCACTCTTGCTCAGATTGGTCTGAAACTCCTGAGCTTAAGCCATCCACCTGTTTCACTTGGCCTTCCAGAGTGCTAAGATTATAGGCATGAGCCACTGTGCCCCGCCTAAATTTCTTTTTTAATCTCTAAATTATGAGTTTTACATGAATGGTTTTTTGATGTAGTAGAAAGATAAAGATTTGGAATTAGAAAATAAGAGTTTGAGCCCTAAGACTTGTCTTTACCATTTACTAAATAATAGATTTGGCCAATGGTTTGATTTTCTTTAACTCTTAAAATTACTCATCCAAATAGAACAGTGCCTAAGGATGAGATAAGATTATTTAGTACTAAACGTTTATTGTTCAGGATTATGAATTGTGCTAAATGGCTAGCTATTCAAATAGGGATTGTATCCTCAAGTTGCTTACAATACAAAGTGTCCCAAAAGTTGCTGTATGTAGGAAAAATGGGAAGTGGTAGCTGAATGAACCTTTACAAAATATTCATTATGAAATATTTACAGACTGTTCTCTATGTGTTGGCCATCTCTTTATACACACACATGCACACACATACGTGATGTCTCTCATAGGGAACATGTTCCAAGATAACTGTTATTATGTGAGCTCATTAATTTTTCCTATGTATAGATACTTTTGGAACACGCTGTAAAGAAGACCCCAATTCCTGATTTGATTGATCATGACACATAATATGCTTTTATCAAAATAGCACATGTACCCCACAAATATGTACAACTATCATATGTCTGTAATAATTAAAAGTTTGAAAAAAGACAGACATATAAATGATTAATTATGTAATTTGATTTATGAGGCAGTAAATTTTCAAGATTCATTGGAAGTGCAATGATGGGAGTGACTTTCTTTTTTTTTTTTTGAAACAGAGTCTTATTTTGTCGCCCTCGGTAGTGTGCTATGGTGTCATAGCTCACAGCAACCTCAAACTCTTGGGCTCAAGCGATTCTCTTGTCTCAGCCTCCCAAGTAGCTGGGATTATAGGTGCTTGCCACAATGCCCGGCTATTTTTAGAGACAGGGTCTCCTTCTGGCTCAGGCTAGTCTTGAACCCATGAGTTCAGGGAATCCATCCTCCTCAGCCTCTCAGAGTGCTAGGATTATAGGTGTGCACCAGGCCAGGAGTGACTTTTTGGATATCAGAATGTTTCTTAGTGAAGATATTGGTGGAGTTGAATTAAATGGAAGGGGTAGGGATTCTCTGACATACGGGCTTTAGAAGTCTGGTTAACAAGACATGGGCAGCTGAAATGAGACTGCATGCCACAATGCAAAAGGAACAATACCTGAAATAAATCTGGAGGGAGAGACTGGGATGTTTGAGCACTTTGTAAACTGTAATGCTATATGAAATTTCAGTTATTTCTTTGGTATTAATTTGCCTAATTAAACAAGAGTATACATATTTGTAAAATGTATATGATAATCTGTAATTTATAGATACATATTTTAATATGGTAGTTTTTATCTTAGATTAAAAAATTAATATTTTTTTTTATTCTTTTTCTTTTGAGACAAAGTCTCACTTTATTGCCCTCAGTAGAGTGCCATGGTGTCACACAGCTCACAGCAACCTCCAATTCCTGAGCTTAGGTGATTCTCCTGCCTCAGCCTCCTGAGTAGCTGGGGCTACAGGCACCTGCCACAATGCCCAGCCATTTTTTTGTAGTAGTTTGGCTGTGGCTGGGTTTGAACCCACCACCCTTGGTATATGGGGCCTGTGCTCCACCCACTGAGCTACAGGCACCACCCCCCAAAATTAATATTTTTGATGGGGTCTCAAGGTTTTGGCTAACGCATTCCCTCTGCCTTGGCCTTCTGAAGCATTGAGATTATAGGCATGAGCCCAGCTAGATCTTAATTTTATTAGGTTTTTAAATACTTATAGTTGAACAAGTCATCTAATATGTAGGCTCCTTTTGTAAAACAGCTCTCTTCTGAATTACATTGATGGCTTTTCTCATTCTACCACTTTTTTGTGAGACAGTCTCAGTATGTCGCCCTCAGTAGAGTTCACTGGTGTCACAGATCACAGTAACCTTCAACTCTTGGGCTTAAGCTATTCTCCTGCCTCTGCCTCCCAAGTAACTGGGACTACAGGCATATGCCACAATGCCTGGCTGTGTTTTTGTTATAGTTGTTTTGTCATTGTTCAGCAGGCCTGGGCTGGGTTTGGACCCACCAGTCCTGGTGTAAGGGGCTGGTGCCCTAAACCACTGAGCTATGGGCGCTGAACCTCTGTTGGTACTTTTTTTTTTT